AAATTAGGGGCTTCCCTGGTGTTGCAGTGGTTGAGAGTCCGCCTGCCGATGCAGGGGACATGGGTTCGTGCCCCGGTCTAGGAGGATCCCACATGCCGCGGAGCGGCTGGGCCCGTGAGCCACGGCCGCTGGGCCTGCGCGTCCGGAGCCTGTGCTCCGCAACGGGAGAGGCCACAGCAGTGAGAGGCCCAAGTACCACAAAAAAACAAACAAACAAACAAAAACAAACCAAAAAAAACCTTCCTATACCTGCCTTAACGGCACTTTTAGAATCTGGAAGAATGCTGCCCTGGTGCCACTCCCCCAGTGTGTGGAATGAACTCCTGTTGTAGTTTTTGTGTCCTCCTCCCATCTTGTGCAGAATATATAAGAATTAAATGCAGAGTTTGTTACTAATCAGCTTGGGCAATAGTTGAACCAGCTTTTTGTCCCAAACTTCTTTCCCCTCCTTCTGTAAAGCTGTCTAGGAAAGCATTCCTATGTTATTTAGATAGTGTTTAGAATTTATGAAGATCCCAAGGCCAGGGTCTTGGAATTTGACTGGGTGTTAGGGAGCCAGGAACGTGGAATCAAGTGAGATTAGCTTCCTCCTTCCCTCTCCATGGGTAGAGCACGTGGAGCAGTTTTACAGCCCTAAAGAGGGCTCCCTGTGCCATGTGTGCTCTTTACACTGTGTTTATCTCCTGCACATCCACTGTGGTAACTGTCCTGCAGACGACTGGGGACTGTGCTCTCCTGGGCAGAATAGCAGCAGCAGGACACCACTACTGCGGGTCCTTTGCCTTTGCTTTTGTTTTCTTGCTTGTTCCTCTCTCTTCCTTTTCCTGAGAGGCCTCGGTATTAAAATAATTTAAAACCTTAATTCTTTTTCAGAAAAGTACACATGCACACATACTTATGCGCACGTACCAAACAACAGATCTTTTCCCGTGGGTGCTGGGGTACAAGGGCCTGAGGTAAACAACATTGGGGTGAGGGGTCCCTAAGCAAGATGAGTGGGGAATGGGAGGGTAGGTATGTTCATGGGTGGTCAGAATGATTTCCAGGCCCCTCCTGGTCCCCTATGCTGGCAGCAGTACGATGGGCTCAGAAGGTCCCTCCTGGTGCAGTTTCTTTTCTTCTTTTTTTTCAGTCTAACATTTTATTTATTTTAATTTTATTTTTTAATAAAAATTATATCTATTTAAGGTGTACAACATGATGTTTTGATACATGTATACATAGTGAAATTATTACTAGAGTCGAGCTAATTAATATATCTTCTCATATAGTTACCTTTTTTGTGATGAGAGCACTTGAAGTCTCCTTTCTTAGTAAATGTCCAGGGTTCAGTATTACTAACTGTAGTCATCATGCCGTACATTCGATCTCTAGTCTTATTCATCCTGCATAGCTGCACCTTTGTACCCTTTGACCGACACCTCCCCATTTCTCCCACCTCCGCACTCCTGATAACCACCCTTCTACTCTCTGCTTCTATGTATTTGACTTTTTTAGATTCTACATATCAGTGAGATCTTGCACTTTTTTTTCTTTGTCTGGCTTATTTCACTTAGCATAATGTCCTCCAGGTTCATCCATATTTTTGCACATGGTACAATGTCCTTCCTTTTAAAGGCTGAATAATATTCCATGGTAAATATATACCACAATTTCTTTATCCATTCTTCCATTGAAAGACACTTAGTTTGGTTTCATGTCTTGGCTATTGTGAATAATGCTGCAATGAACATGGGATATTTCAAGATACTGATTTCATTTCCTTTGGGTATATACCCAGAAGAGGGATTGCTGGATCATATTGATAGGTTTCTTGAGCATTCAGCAGATAATGGTGGTGAGGGTAGCCAGGACTGTGGTGAGGAAAAGAGGTACTTCTCTGGAAGAGAGTTGAGTGGATGATCATTCAGAGGAAGTGGGCCCAACCAGGACACCCAAGGGTGGCAGGTGGTGGTTGCCCACCATTGTTGCCTTCTGGTGGCTCCCTGCAGCACTGGCAGCCAGTGGTTCCCCTCTGGCAATGCTGACGGTTACAGTTTAGACCACTGGCTTCTTGGGAGGTGTGGGTGTGGAGATAGGCAGGGAGACAGGGGATTGCACTTTCTTCCAGAAGTTCTGGGGCCCCCAGCACATTGTGTGAACCACTAGGAGCTAGAAGCTCAAGAGCTGCTGCCTATCAGCTTTCCCTAGAGGAGTGAAAAATGGCTGCTTGGAGGGTTTGCTGTCCTCCACCTGGTCCTCACCTTCATGAGCTGCCCAGGTGCTTAAAGCTTCAAGTGTACAGGTGGGCTTCCAGGGGTGTAAAAGGCTTTTCTCTTCTTGAGTAATTATAGCCTTTCAGTCAAGGCAATAGGACAGGGAGAGAAACATAATATTAAGAGTCTATATTGATAGTATTTGTATTCTCTTCTGTAACCCCAGTTCCATTTTGGGGGATTTGTCTGTTTAAAGTTTAAGACCGATAAACAGCACTTACATTCTTCTTTGTAAATGTGAGTAACATACATTGCACTAGCATCTATATGCGTCCCATCTCAAAAACCCTGTGCCTCTGAGTGGAGACTGTTTCTTGTGTCAAGTCCATTTCTAGTGTATTCTCCAGTTTTACCCTCTACCGGTTTTCTTAATCTCATTCTCATTTCTCCCAGCTCTCCATCCTTCTGTCTGTTCATTTCCCCTTTCCCAGGGCTCTACGTATTCTCACAGTCTAGACTGAGACTCAGTCAACACAGCTGTTGTCTTGGGCCATGGCTCCACGCTCTCTTGGGTTTGACCCCCTTTGCCTGGGGTCCGTGTTGTCTTCTTCTAGATTTGCTGCCATGTTGTTGAACTACATGCTTAAGTCACTTTCAAAAAAGCCTATGTTGGAGGTAAACTTTCCAAGTTTTTGCAAGTCTGAAAGGACTCAACCTAGTGATAGTTTGGTTGGTCGTAGAATTTGTTCTCCATCAAAACTTTTCTGGCTGCATCTTCTAGCACCCAGCGTTGCAGGTGTGAGAGTCAGCAACCAGTCTGCATGATTGTTCCTTATGAAGTGATTTGTTTTTTTCTTTCTTTCTGGAAGCTTTGAGGATCTTCTCTTAGTCTTCAATGTTCTAAACTTCCATGGTGCTGTGACTACATATAGATGTTTTCATTCTTTGGTTGGGCATTTTGGTGGCTTGCAGCCCTCAGCTGTGGGCAAATATATATCTTGTATTTATTTGAAAATTTCCTCTCATTCTTTTTCTTTCCTGAACTCGAATTCATTTGTGATTGAGCTATTTAAACTGACCCCATATGTCTCTTGTATTTTCTTGACTATTTTATTCTTTTTGCATTAGTTTACTTTGGTCATTTCCAAGAACTCTTTTCTGCTCTCTTTTCACAGAACTCATTTTTCTTTTAATGCAGTAGCTTCTTGAATTTATTGATGATACTTAATAACAGGTTTAGTTTTGTTTTTAAGTTCTTCTCTTTCCTTTAGGGTCATTTTTCCTTCTTGCTTGTCTTGATCTTCTCTTGTACGTTGCAGGCTTTCCTCAGCTTTCCTCAGTTGTACAGTCATGTTTAAGAACAAGGCAAAAAACAAAACAAGAAAGAACAAGGCAATTGAAACTCTAATAAGAACATTTTGCGTGTAGATGGGGCTTGCTGGCAAGCAGGTTCTCCCTCAGGGTGAGCCAAAAGGGGACTTCCCTTAGGTGGGGGGTGACAGTGCCCACCTGAGGAAGGCTGGACTCTTCAGCACTAACACGCACATACACTCACACCAGCTGTCTCGGTTCTCAGCAGCAAATCTATGGCATTTCTTTAGCGATACCCTGCCCCCCTTTTAAGATTTTGTCTGGCGAGATGGCATGGCCACAGGCGGTTTTGCACAGGCATGGCATGGAGGAAGGAGAGGCTCACCTGGTCCATGCACAGGACTTGTATTTCTCCCCCTATTTTGATCCCTGTTTGCCCTCTCCACCCTGCATGGTACCTGACATCTCTGGGCTGCCAGGGACATTCTGCTCCCTCCTCTGCTGTGGCCCCTCCTCAGGATTTAAAGGCTCTCTGTCCTCTTGCTCCCATCCACTCCCCATTTTCTGAAACTTGGTTGACCCTTCTTAATAGCCAATAGCCCCTCCATACATTTTCTCTTCGTTGTGGGTTTATTATCTGTATTTTATTCTTTTACTGTTATTTTTATGGGATATTGGAAAGGAGAGGAGAGGAATGCTTGCATTCAGTATTTTAATAGGAAGCCAGTTTACTATGAAAGAATGTAAACCTTAGAAACCAAAATAATGTGTGGTTTTCTTTTTAAAACAATCTTTTTTTCTGTTTCCTTAGAAATGGTGGTTCTCTTGAAAACATTGTATTGATGAAAAAGCCAGGTGCAAAAGACTACGTATTATATAATTCCATTTATACGAAATGTCCAGAGTAGGCAAATCCATAGAGCTAGAAAGTAGATTAATGGTTTCCTAGGGCTGGAGGTCATGGAGGAATTGGGGGGTGACTGCTTACGGATGTGGGGATTCTTTTTGGGTGATGACTTCTAAAATTGATTGTGGTGATGGCCGTGTACCTCTGTGAATACACTAAAAGCCATTGAATGGTGCAATTTAAGTGGGTGAGTTGTGTGAATTGTATCTTCCTAAAGCTATGAAAATGTGGTGGTCCTTTTTGGTTCATATATTAGGCACATTCTCTGTCAGTCTAAGACCAAAGAAGTCTTACTCAGTGTTAGATATATCACACAAACTGTAATGGTAAAGATAATGAATACTCTGATGGTGTCCATAACCTTTTTTTTAATAGGTTCAAAAATAAAGAAGCTGGTGTATCCACCTGTTTTCATGGGATTAGCTGCCTCTCTTTATTATCCACAACAAGCCATCGTATTTGTCCAGGTAAGTTAGATGCAGTAAGCTTCCATGTCCTTTGTTCTTGTTTATGTATGTATGGGTTTACTGCTAAATTTTATTTTATTTTGCAGCCTTTCTAACACCAGACTAAAATTTGTTTGTACATATAAATGAACTACAACAAATTTAAATGTTTTTCTGCACTATGTACCTCAGTTCTGGCCCTCCTTCCAGTGTCAGTATTCAGAGAATGCATGCTAATTTGAATATTAATCAAAGAAAATTTGCTATGCCTTTTTTTTGCATAATTACATGGAAATCTAGAGGCTCAAATTCCAAAGCTGCTAGTTACAGGTCATTCTCAGTTTGGGCTTATCTGGTCACAACCTGCCCTCCTTGGAGTTGCAGGCACGGGCCTGTGCTCTGGCCCTCTGCGCCTTCTCCCTCATCATGGTGCTAGCCTCGCTTTCCTTGCTGGGGACTACAGGGAGTGCAGTCCCTTCTGCTGGGAATGCCTTTCTCAGGGCTGTCAGTTGGCTGCTCCTTTCCTACCCTTCAGGCCTCAGTTTGATGACATCCTGGCAAGTAGAACACAGTGGCAAGAACACGGGTGAAGCTGATGCCTTAGTCAGCTTGAGCTGCCGTAACAAAATACCACAGACTGTGAGGCTTAAATAACAGAAATTTATTTTCTCACAGTTCCGGAGGCTGGAAGTCCAAGATCAAGGTATCAGCAAGGTTGGTTTCTCCTGAGGCCTCTCTCCGTGACTTGCAGATGGCAACCTTCTCCCTGTGTCCTCACATGGCCTTGTCATTGTGCGTGCACTCCCCTGGTGTATCATCCTTGTCTTATAACGACACTAGTTAGATTAGAGCTCTACCCTTATGATGAACTTGACCTTAATTACCTCTCTTAAGGCCCTGTCTCCAAATACAGTCGACTGTATCAACACTGTGGGTTAGGGCTTCAGTATATGAATTTTGGGGGATACAATTCAGTCCATAACAGCTGGACCAGCAGTTCTCAGAGTGTAGTCCCTGGACCAGCAGCATCAGGATCACCTGGGAACTTGTTAGAAATGCAAATTTTCAGGCCCCAACCCGGACCTACTGACTCAGACACTCTGAGGGTTAGGGCCAGCAATATGTGGTTTAGCAAGCCCTCCGGGGGATTTTTAGCAAGCCCATAATATTTGAGAACCACTGATAAAGACTAGACTCTCTCAGGGCAGTGGTGTGTGGACTTAGTGCGACTCTACATGTAGAGTCCCTTGGAAAACTGGCAAGAGCAAGGCCGACTCGAGGTTTTGAGGTCCTAGACAACTTATGGAGACAAGGACTCATTTGCCAGAATTGCCATCTCACACTGACACTTGGTCCTAGGAGGAATAGCAGTGCCATCACCAGATTTCGGCCTTGAGGGCTCTGAGCCAAAATGACCTGAAACTGTGCCCCCTGCAGTCCTTGTGACAGTGTTGAGTCTAGATTCCTAGACGCTGCTGCAGTTGCAGGTGGGAGCCCAGTGGCTCCAGCTGCGGGAAATTGTTACCTTTGGTGGCAAATACCAGTAAGATCTTCGTAGCATGGCCTTGACATTGTTTACAGCAGTCCTGGAGGCAGACAGTTACTGATCCTCTGCCTGCTTCAGCCCCAGCTCTGGAACAGTGAATCGTGTCTGCCTGCCCTAGGTCATAAAAATAATCAAACATCATCTCAGTCTATTATGGTTTAAATAGTAAATTGGCTGCTGGTTGAGAAGCATATGTGGTTGCCCTCTGAGTAGAGGCCTTTTTTAATCTTATATGCCACAGCATATGTTGCAAAAGATTTTTTATATTCACAACCAAGATAGTAGCATGCAAATCTGAGTTGTATTCTAATTTATTTTTAAAGTCAGTGGGAAGGAGTTTTGTCTTTTATTTTGTGCCTAGGGTAAGCCAGAGCAAAGCAATTAACTAGTTTCACTAGATATAAAACATTAGTGATCTGTTTGGGATGATGAAAACGTTTTGAAAATGGATGGTGGTGATGGCTGCATAGCATTGTGAATGTAATTAATGCCACTGAATTGTACACCTAAAAGTGGTTAGCATGGTAAATGTTATATTATGTGTATTTGCCACAATAAAACAAAACAACATCAGCGACTGAAAGAGAATTTCTGATACCGTTTTAGTGTCATTTAGTTCCTATTTCACAGTTTCTTTTCTACTTCCTCTTCTTTTTTTTTCTTTTTTTTCTAATGAATGCCATGACCTTGGACAAGCCACTTAATCACTTATATTCTGTTTTCTGTTCAGTAGTGTTTGGAGAAAAGTACTGTAAGAAAACCCTTAAAGTGATGGCAAATATTATTATTTAAAGCACTGAAAACAGTGCCATACTCATGATAAATGCTTGATATGTCTACCAGTGGGTGTGAGAATCATATCATATTCTAAGAACAGTTGGGGCAACTGGAAGAATATAACTTTTAAGAAACCAGCATGTTGCAGCAACCCCTGGATTTACTAGCACTGTGATCTTGGACGAGTCACTTGGCCTCTGAATATTTCCTTACAGTCTTTGCCTACTTACCACATAGGGTTGTTATATAGAATAGAGATAAATCATGTGAATGTGCTTTGTAAAGTAAAATGCTATACACAGACAAATTATTATAAAAATTAGGAAGAGAATAATAACTGCTTTCAGAAAATTGAAGTACTGTCATTTAGAAGAATAATCAGTATGGTCATAAGTAGGACCAACGAATGCAAATTATTGGAAGCATTTTTTTTTAAGAAAGCTCAATACTTAAAAAAAAAGTTTCCAACAATTAAAGCCAACAGGCCAAAGTTGGACAAGTGCATTTTAAGGTAGTGAGCTCACTGACCCCAAAATATTCTCTGACCCTGGGGCCTACCTCTCAGGATGTTGTAGAAAGGATTTTGAAACAGGAGGCAAAATCGCTATAGAAACTCAAAGACTTTATGTTTTGAGGGATCTGAGAAGACTGAAAGTATCTTTACTGGGCTCACCTATTTTTTTTTACCTAGCCCCCAAAATGAATGATTGATTTTAAACTTGATTTTCAGACTTGTTTGGCTGTTACGTGCTAGATGTGATAGGTAGAAGCCTTCCTTCTTGTCTGATCTTCAGACATTTCCCATATCAGCAATGATCTACATTTTTTTCCCTTGAAATTGTGAAAGTTTGAAATATACACCTATAATTTATGGCAAATTATTTTAAACAGTAACTATACACTGGCAAGCTATTTTTTCTTTTTATGCTATCATTCTTACTATCTTTTATTTGCTTACATTGCACAGTTTTAATGTGTATGTCCCAAGATTCCTGTGTTTGTCGTATGCTTAAATACAGTTCTTTTGGAAACAGGGCAAAAGAAAACAAAATTCTCTTCCTTACTACTTCATGTATGGAATAGCAATGGGTCTTTTATATTTTGTTTCAAGGTCAGTGGGGAGAAATTATATGACTGGGGTTTACGTGGATACATAGTCATAGAAGATTTATGGAAGGAGAACATTCAAAAGGTGAGAAAGATCTTTTTCATTATCTTCCTTTTGGTTTAAATATGTGGTTTCTCTCGGGTTTTATAAAATTCTTGATGCCCTGTTGCTTGCTCTTGCTTTTTCTGTTTGTATTTCCTTATGCTTCTAGCTCAGATTCTCTGGTGGCCTTTATTGGAGGAGCAATAGAACCTCTGTGCATTTGATTATTTTCAGCAGGGCTGAATAAGTGGGGGCCATAAAATACATTCCACCCCAGTCTTAGACCATAATTTCCACTTTATTGTATTTACAGTTTGCTCAAAGTGTTGCATATTATCTGAAAGTTTTATCAAAACTAGATTCAAAGGGAACATGCTATGCTCCCAGCAAAAGACAAATAACCGAGACTCCTCTTGATATTTCATTCACCATAGGCTTTGTTCTTCGCTTTATCAGTACTGTAACTGTTCATCCCCTAGCCTATGGGCCCAGTTAAGGGCATATACGGGACCAGCCACCAGTTACAGGCCATTGTGCTGACTGGTGGGCAAACAGCAGAGGGGAAAAGGTTGTGGAATTATAAGGACAGGTCATTTTTTTGTCTCTTCTCACAGCCACTTAGCTGATTAAATGTTGCCCATGTTTGCTGGGACATTCCCTCTTTCCTCTGATAAGGATTAGAGAATATAGAACAAGGCATCATGCCTCCTCCAAGCACTCAGAGGCACAGCTCGATAAGGAAGAATTAGGGTTCTTATTATTAACATACCTTCTGTATCATAGAATACTTTTGACTCCTGTCATCTGAAATCAGAATACCCTTTTAAAAAATATAAATACCTAGGGAATTCGCTGGTGGTCCAGTGGTTAGGCTCCGAGCTTCCACTGCAGGGGGCATGGGTTCAATCCCTGGTCGGGGAACTAAGATCTCGCCAGCTATGCGGCATGGGCCATAAATAAATAGATAGATAAATAGATAAATACATACCTATCTCAAAACCCAGGATTTCGAACTGGAATTTGGAAGTAACATTAACGGAATAAATTATAAGCCCTCCTCATTAGTTACATAAACAATCTTCCAGTGAAATCTTAAGACTAATTATTGTACTGGTGATTTGTAATGAATTAGTCTCTGTTGAGCCTGTTTAAACTAGCTCTTGAATAGGAAGTTCTATATTAATATCAAGTGCCCTTTGGCAATCCCTTTTAAAGAATAAACGCTCATAGTTTTATTTTCATTTCCCTGACATTTTCTTTGGAAGCTTTCTTTCCTGTTTAAAAAATTCCTGAAGTCCACACTGAGTTTAATATGGTAAAGGAAACAGAATGTCAGGAAAACTATACACAGCCTTAGAAAGAAATGTAGAAAATGAAACTCCTCCTCAGTTCTGAATGCTCACTGTGGTGTCGGTGCAGAACCGATGCACATGAAAGCTATGGTGGGGGGGATCCCCTGGGAGCCTCTGAGCACTCACTGTGGTGTCAGGCAGACACATGCACACCAATGGGACTGTGGTTGGAATGCAAGCTAAGCCGAGCAGCATTTTACTGTAATTTGAAAACGTTGGATATTACAGCTACTCGTATTTACATGCAAGTCTTTGGGGAGCGAGATAGTAAAGATGCCTAATTAGCCTGGGGTTGGTCTACATGTCTTCTGTGATCTTCCTTCTATGCTCTTGCCCTCTTGAGCGTCACTGAGAGCTTAGTGTTCTTCCATTCATTTACTCTCAAAGCACAGTTGTCCTGACAGCTATCTGTTGTGAATAGAAGATAATAAAATGGATGTTGACTACTTAAACATTTAGCACAAGTTTTAAATGAAAAATATCAGAAGGCCTTATTAATTCAAGATTTGATATAGTTAGATTTGGGGAATTATTTGATATGTACATACTTTTGGTGGTAAATAGTCAAAGAAATGTGTGGACATTGTGTTTAAAATGGGGCCCTGAGGGACTTCCCTGGTGGTCCAGTGGTTAAGGTTCTGTACTTCCAATGCAGGGGAACTAGATCCCCGCATTCCACAAATTTCTTTGACTATTTACAACCAAAAGTAGGTACATCTGTTAGATTATTATAGTACAAACAATTATGAATCAGCTTGCACCTAATTGAGACTGGTAATTGAAGCCTAACTTGAAAACCAATTTCCAAACATGCTAAGAAACAAACAAATATCTCCTCCATGAGGTGTTCTTCAGTTCCCTTCAAAGAATTCCCAGGCCCCCAAAGATAAGTCTTTGCTCTCGTTAATAAAGCAAAAACAAACAAAAAATACCGAAACCCACAGAGTCCAACAAGTGGGGGGCAGCGAAATCAATAAAAGACAATGGCATTTCACTATCAAATAATGGGGCCCTGAAATTTTAAGTGGTATGAATGATGGTTCAGTTCTCAATTATATTATTTCCCATGGAGCTGTATTACTCTCAGAAACTCTCAGTCTGTGGCATTTTTTGCTCTGCCACATCTCTTTTCCCTTTTAGGAATTAATTCTAAATGTTTGCACTGAGTCTTCTATCACCGAAGTTTGGATGAGGTGGTCTTTCAGTCCTGTCATTGGTCAGTGAAGAGGAACTTATCTGCTTCAGCTAAAATGAATTCTTTGTCAGAACTGTGAAGCAAAGATGGGTGTGTCCAGAAATATTGTCATCATAATGGGTCTAGGTTTTTTTTTCTTTTTTTGAGATAAAAGAACATATAAAATATGTCATAAAATACAACATATATAATATAAAATAACTGCATATATATGTATATTTACAGTTTAAAATCCAACAATATAATGACCATACATATACCAACAAACCATCCATCTTTAAAAATAGGAAATTACCAATGTCTTCCAAGTTCTTCCTGGGCCCTTCCATCTCCCCAGAGAGAACCACTATCCAGAATTTTGTGCTTTTCATTCCATTGTTTTTCTTTAAACTTTTTCTTTTAGTTGAACCACGTAACGTATTTATTCTAAAACACTGTAGTTGAGCTTGCCTGTTTTTGCCTTTATAATATAAATAACTATCAAATATACATATAAATAAATATATAGTTTAGATGGAGTCTTACTATATGTGTTATTTTGCAAGTTGTTTTGTTCCCTAAACATTATGTTAATGGGTTGTGTATGCCCGTAATTTATTAATTTACCCTGCTATGGAATATTTCTTTGTGGGAAAATACCCATGTTGATGGCTAACTAGGTGGCTTTCAGTATATTGTTGTTGCACACATAGCTTTGAGCATATTTCTGTACATGTGTCATGGTTTATTAAGAGTTTCTTAGGTCAGGGACTTCCCTGGTGGCACAGTGGTTAAGAAGCCACCTGCCAATGCAGGGGACACGGGTTCGATCCCTGGTCCGGGAAGATCCCACATGCTGTGGAGCAACTAAGCTTGTGCACCACAACTACTGAGCCCACATGATGCAACTACTTGAGCCTGCGCGCCTAGAGCCCGTGCTCCACAACAAGAGAAGCCACTGCAACGAGAAGCCCACGCACCGCAACAAAGAGTAGCCCCCACTTGCCATAACTAGAGAAAGCCCGCGCTCAGCAATGAAGACCCAATGCAGCCAAAAATTAAATTAAATTAAATTAAATTAAAAAAAGAGTTTTTCTAGGCCAGGATTCCTAGTTCATAAGGTCTGCACGTCAATTTTACTAGATGGCAGGTTTTCCATTTTTGCCGGTCTGGTGCCTTTAAAATAGTTTTTCACTGTGTGTGTGTGTGTGTGTGTGTGTGTGTGTGTGCGCGCGTGCGTGCGCGTGTGTGTCTTTACTTTGTTCCCCAATTTTTATTTTGAAAAAATATTTCAAAACTACAGAACAGTTGCAGGAATAGTATAATGAATATACCCTTCACGTAGATTCACCAATTAACGTTTTGCTACATTTGCTTTGTCTTTTTACACGTGCTTGGGTGCTCACATACATGTGTATTTTATTTTTCTGAACCATTTGAGAGTTAGTTGTAGATACTGCGCTTTCTACCCATTTCTAATTCAGCATATATTTCTAAAGAACATGGTCAGTTACTGATATAATCACAATACCATTATCATGCTCAGGAAAGTTGACATTTCATTGTTTACATAATCATTATCTAATATACAGTCCATAGTCAGGTTTCCTCAGTTGCCACAATAATGTGCTTTCTTTCAACAATTTTTAAATTGATTTTTTTATAGCTGAGTGAATTATTATAAGGCACACACCCTTGTAACCATCATCTGGGACAAAAACCCAGAATTTTGCCAGCCTCCCCAGAAGCCCTTCCATGTAGCTCACCCCAATCACATTCCTCTCTTTCCATCCAAAACTACCTACTATCCTGATTTCCATAGTAGGAAGTAACTTCCCTGTTTTTCTTAATGGCTTTATCACCTAAGTCTTTATCCCTGTCACTTTAGTCTTGCCCATGATTATTTCTGACTTGATATTCCTTTTAAGTCTTTTTTTTTCCCTTTTAAGTCACTTAATCTACAGGTTCCCCTTCCATCCTCTTATTTTCCTTACACTGTATTTGTTAAAGGAACCTGGCATGTAGGACCTGTAGAGTTTCCAACAGTTTGGGTTTTGCGGATTGCACGCTTATGGTGCAGTTGAACATGTTCCTTTCTTCTCTACGTTTCCTGTAGATTGGCCACTGGATCCAGAGGCTGCCTAATCAAGTTCGTGTTTGATCCTGTTGGCAAGGCTATAGGTCTATGTAGGCATCTAAGTTTTTGCTTCACTTTACCATTTTGGTGTTAGTGGCTGTTGAGGCCCAATGCCTAGACCTACTGACTCACTGGGAGTTGGAAAATCGTGATATTCTATTTCTGTCATTTCATTTTCACATAATAGCTAGAACACTTTAATAAGGAACTACTACCCCTCATATACTATTTAGTTACCCAGTTATAGGAAAGATAGGATAAATGCTCAATTTTTGCTCTTATTTATCTGGTTTTCAAAATAATAAATTGGTTCCCTCTCATCCTCAGAAGGTCACCAATTAGTGGGGTTTTTTTAGAATCATTTTGAATTTGTAGATTT